TGTGTTCCTGGTGTCAAGTCCAGAAGAGGGTGCCTGACTCCCTAGAACTGGAGTTACAGGCCATTGTGAGCCACCACATGCATGTTGGGAACTAAACCTGGGTCTTCTACAAGAGCAGCTAGTGATCCTAACTGCTGAGCCATTTCTCCAACCCTTAGTTTTTCAACTTTAAATGTGTCACATGATACTCTGATAAAGAAAAATGTTGCAAAAACTGCCATTTAGTAGGTGTTCCATGCAGTGGAGGTATTATTCACTTTCTCAATAATACCATGCCCCCAAAGAGAAATGTTTTCTACAGCAGCACTTATTAATTATTAGCGCACTAAAATGGCTCCTTGTTCTCTGCCATGTCTCACTTGGTTTTCAGTTCTATGCGATGCTGGGGATTCTTTCCTACTTCTATTCAGTTGCCATTTGTATTGTATGTAAGCAATTTAGACGACATTGGCACTCCTCCTGTTAGTTTCTTTTATGCTTTTGTTTCACATGTAAAAGGGTTTCATACGTTTTGGCTATGTTACTTTGCCTTAAAACAGTACATACCCTGTTGCACAATCATTTCAACCAAAGCAGTTAATATATCCAGTTTAATCAATCACAGATGTTTTCCTATTCTTTTTATAACACAAAAAAAGTGAACTCATTACTGAACACATCCCTCATAAAACATTAGAGCAAATAAATCAAAGCTCACTTTGCCATGGGTAATTACTAGAAATCTTCATTGTTAAGGAAAAGTAAATGAGAAAAAAATGGTCTGAGGCATTTACTCCACTAAACATGACCCTATTTTATGTGTGAAAGAGATCAGTGTTTAATGCTTTAATCATTAGCTACTCATCAAACATTGGTGGTATATAGCTAATTCAGAATAACTTACAGCTATAGTTATTTTACAACTTACCATCACCTATCATATTCTAACTAGACTAGTACACTGCTTAACAACCTGATGTTTAAGACAGAAGAAAAAAGTCATTATGCATTACGTAGTAAAAATATTTATGAGGAACAGAATTTTGTTGAGTAAATAAACCATACAGGGTCTGGTTAAAGGACTTGCTGGGCAAGCAAGAAGACCAGACAGGGTTCAGATCACCAGAACCTATGTAAATGCTGACTGGGCACGGAGACCTGTGTAGGAAGGTACGTTAGTCTCAAAAGGTAATGATGGGGGATCTCTGGAACAAGCTGGCTAGTGACATATCCACAAGCTCTGGGTTCAACAGAGATACCCTGCCTCAAACTGAACAATGTAGAAAAGCAATCAAAGAAGATTTTAACCTCAGGTCTCTATGTGCACAGACACATGCATGCCCTGACACATGTAAACATACATGCATACATGCAAACACACACACACACACACACACACACACACACACACACACACACAGAATGTAAACCCATACAAATAAGAAGCTCAAATATAGAGCTTTTATCACCAGAGGAGCAATATCTGCTTACTAGCAGATGCAGTAATACACTTTGAGTTTTGATCCCCACCAGCAGTAAATAAAAAGAAATGAGAAAGTGAAACAAGTTACTAAGTACAGAATTTTAAAAACCACCTGATACCTGCATTAGCATGCAGAAGTGATACTAATGTTCACAATGTAGATTTCATTATTCTAATGCTAAAATAAGAAACATGAAGATTTTACACATGTATTCCACACAAAATAATTTTAGGATACCATGAAATTTATTAGTAAAATATATTTAAAATTTTACTGAATAAAATTCACACATGAAATCTAATTATCAATTTTTTAAAACTGGCTGAAACCTAAGCCCGACACATTGTCGAACACCTTTTATCCCAGCACTCAGGAGGCAGAGGCAGGTAGATCTCTGAGTCTGAAGCCAGTCTATCTACCCAGCAAGTTCTAGAACAGCCAGAGCTACACAGAGAAACCTCGTCTCTAAAAAACCAACTAACAAAGCTGGGTGGTGGTGGCACACACCTTTGATCCTAGCACTTGGGGAGGCAGAGGCAGGTGGATCTCTGAGTTCTAGGCCAGCCTGAACTACACACAGAGTGAGTTTCTGGACAGCCATGGCTACACAGAGAAACCCTGTCTTGAGCCCACCACCCAAAACAAACAAAAAATTGGCTGAAATCTTATACATTCTAAAAATAACATTAAGATTGAGCAGAATGAAAGAACAGAAGTTGTATTTTAATAAAATCTCCATTTTAGAGCAAAATAAGCCTCTCAAAATATGTTATCAAAAGGTAAGTTCTAGTGTAAGTTGAGAAGAACATAATTCACTAATTAAAGAAAAACAAACATCATTAAGTTCTTGTGTGTACTTTTTATTTTTACACAGGTTATAGAGTTATAGAGTTGACCACACTATACAGTATTACTGAAAGTCAGGACATATTACATTTTGGTTATTAAGTAGGGAAGCCAGTCTGTTTTTACAAAAAGCACATGTTAAGACATTTTCCCTTAGTCTATAAAGCTCAAGCTCCACTTCAGTATAATTAATAATTTATAACACAACACAATTAATACAATTGTTGAGAATTGCGTTTAAAAAAGAAAAAAGAGCACTTAGGAGCATGTAGGAAATGTTCTATATATTTGTGCAGGGCAGGGGACTAGGGCACACAGAAGAGAGCACACTGCAGTAGAGATCCTGGTTTTGTTCAGCTCTGCCTTCCATTGCTTTGGGTAGGCAGACAAGGCAGCCCACTTTGCCAGTGTTAGTATCTTCTTAGTTTCTGTCAGGCCCACTTAAGACTCCCGTTTTAGGACACCAAAGTTTTGTAGTACTTACAAAAGGAAGAACTAAAAGCATCCCTGGTTTTATTGTTTTAAAACTGTGGGGGGAAAAAAAAAACCTTGCTATTTCTCAGTGCTGAATTCCTCGGTCTCTGAAGGCCAAGTACATAGGACTATATCCATAAAGACTCAGGTTCTGTCTTTATAATGTAACTCCCATTATCCCTCCACCTGTCCCTCAGCCTGCTTCATCCTACCGTCTGCTTGTTTTAAGCAGAAAGGTTGGCATAGCACTGCAAATACCGTACGCTAAAGATTCAAATCATTTTAAAGGATGCATTTTCAACTAAATGTATTGTCTACATCAACGAATTCCTCTCCAACGGTTGAAATTTCATCAACAGAAAAAAATCCAATCAATTTCAGAATCTGCAATACACCCGGCCTATTTCTTGTTTTGTTTGCTTTAAACGTATCCTACCTAATGTATTCCCTTAGGAACATGAACGCATTACCCACCCAGTGGAAAAAATAATTCTGCTGGTTCATTTCCCCGCTCAACAACAGCTTCGCCGTTAGGCCTACCTAGCCCAGTCTTCATTGTCACCTAGTAATTTATATTGATCACCTTGGCAGGCTTGGGCTCTAGCAGGTACAGCTCGTCTTCTTCATATTTTGGGCAAAAAGAACAACAAAAACCAGTAAAAACTACTCAAGACCAGAAAACAGAGATCATATGACTTAGGACACATTTCCTTGTCTTCCCTTCCGTGTGTCAACGCAGCTGCTACTTCTCCCCCTTGAGTAAAATGGAAGGGGGAACAGATCCAAACCCTACAACCGAATCTTGGGACAATGAAGCCGACAGGAAGCCACTCGCTCCTCCCGCGGGGTTTACTACCCAGCCCGAGGCGACGTGGGGTGCCAGTCGCGCGCGGGGCAGGCTGCGTGACAGCACGTCTTCCACGCCCTCCCGACACCACCCGAAGGCTCGTCGTCCGACCTCCCCCCCCCCCCCCCGCCACCCGCCCCACACACCCCGACACCAACCCTACAAAAGGGATGGGCGCCCTGCAAAACTCGGGTCCCCAGCGGCGGCCGAGCAGCCATTCCCTCGACGCTCCGCCCGCAGCGGCTGCTGCACAAAGCCGGGAGGCAGCTGGAGAGGACCGGGGAGCACGGGAGGGAAGCCGGCCCGGGGCGGCCGGCCGCAGTCCGTGGGGGAGGGGAGGGGAGGGCGGCGGCCGCCGCGCGGGGCGTCCGGGCAGCGCCCCTCGGCCTCCAGGCTCGCACTTCCAACCCCGCCGCGGGCCGCGCCCCGACCCCGGCCGCAGGAACCGAGGAGGACGAGGATGTGCAGACTCCCCGGGCCGCGCCGACCCCGAGCGCATCACTTACCCCTCACCGCGGAGAGGGACCGGACCGGGAGGCGGGGCGCGGCGCGTCCCGTCAGTCTCTGCCACGCTGTCCTCCCCCCCACCCCGTCGCCGTTGTCGTCGTCGTCGTCGTCTTCGTCGCCGCCGCCGCCGCCGTGGAGCTCGGGCCCCCTCGGTTCCGCTGGGCAATAACGTTATTCCACACACGCCCCACACATAGCGGGAACGGCAGTGAGCGGCAGCTCAGTGCGCAGGCGCCCCGCAAAGGGCAACCAGCCAGGTCCTCTCCCTCCTCTTGCCGGGGCCCAGCGATGCCTCACTGCGCAGGCGCCAGACCCAGACAATGAAAGGGGGCTTTGAGGAGGGTCTCACCCACACGCTCGCTCAGCCGCCCACTGCGCAGGCGTGCCCTCAAGACCCGCTGGAACAATGAAGAGCTGCCTGGCTGGAGTAGGACCGCAACCAACCAGGACTACGATTCCCAGCGGGCAGCGCGCCAACTCCACGCGGAGGGCGGGGCGCTGGGCATGCTAGGAGTTGTAGTGTCCGCCGCCCTCACCGTCCGGCGGATGGGAAGATTTACAGCTTCATTTTCTAGGGAAAAACAATTTTGACAGAAATCCTAACTCAAACAGAGTTTACAGTCAATCCTTGAGAGGGCTCAGGGATTAACTCCACAACGACCCATTTTGCAGAGCCTCGGCCTTCACCGGGCCCCTTCTGTCAGCGGGTCGATCCAGGTGGCTGGAGGATGGCAGGATAGCAGGACTAACCCAAACTGGGCAGAAGGGAAAGGGCACGGCCTGCCAGCCCGTCTCTTGGCAACGGGCTCAGGCCGCTAAACTGCCGGAGTGGCGCCCCGAGCGCATAGCCCTCTGGGAATCGTAGTGTAGCTGGAAGGCTCATAGGACTCTCGAGGGTGCAGGCTTTGAGCCTGCGAACTACAACTCCCGACGATCATCATGAGGGCCAGGCGGTAGGAAAAGCCCCCAGGAGCTCGGTCCGGGGTTCCTGGCTCCCTAGTGACAGCAGCGACAGGAAGCAGGCAGGCATTCCCCAACCCCCAGCGCTAGGCCTGTTCCTGGAGGGGTGCACTGGACACTTTCCCGCATAACTCCCATCTCTGACCCCATGGCGAAGTCCCCAGGGAACTCTACCCTGGAGGACAGTCTGGGGCAATACCAACGGAGTCTCCGGGGTGAGTTGCTCCGAATCTCAGTGCCTAGCTCCAGGGTACCCTGGGCAGCAGTGGGTGGTTTTCCTAACACTTTCATTGAGCACCAGCCAGGCCGTGGAGGAAGAAGACGGATGTTGGTCTGATGTTAAGGATGAAATAGTTTGGTTTTGGTTGTAGGGTTAAGCAGTGTTGTTACCTCTGTTCTTATGATAACCTGACCCAACAGGGTACCTACATCTTGATTTAGGTGTGTGTCAACTAGTACCATGACAAACTTGTGGACATCTCTATGCCACTTTTACCCTGTTGCCATACTTTGCTGTTTAATCCCATAAATTTCTCATTCATAATTTTTTACACATTCAAATTCTGGTTTCGTATACTGAATCTTACTTATGAGACCAGAAACATAACACTAATAGTTATTTGAAATAATACGATACTTGTTGATCTACATTATTTTCATATAGCAAAACATTTAAAACTTTATCTTACTAATGTTCCCAATTTTACATGTCAAGAAATCAAAGCCCAGAGACATTGAGTTGTAGGCCCAAATCCACACAGTTGCTTAGTGGCAAAGGCAGGTATTGAATTCAGACCTATCCACCTTCAAAACCTATGTCTTTCTTATTAATCAAGTCATAATTACTATAATTGAAGCCCTATTTAGTTCAGTCACGTTTTCTGAGCAAAATACCAGAGGAATGATTATTTGGCCAGGTGGTGTCTATACTTATATTTAGCTCTGTCATCTTGAAAACAGATATAACCTCTGGAAACTTGAGACTTTGCTATATAGAAGTTGTAGTGTTAATTACACCATGATTATTGGGGGAACCAATGAACAAAATAAATTATGAACATACCACGGTGATTTTTTTGTTTTAGACCTTAAAAAAAGTGTTCATCCATAGCAAGAAATGTGTGTTAGGGGCTGGGAATGTGATTCAGTATTAGAATACTTGTCTGGCATGTGGAAAGGAAGAGAGAAGAGATGAGCATGTCGTAAATATAGGACATATAAAGTAAAAAATTCACTTAAGACTTGATTCTATTGGTTGTGACACACCTTTTCCTAGTCTGCATCTTCATAACCCCATAGGTTATGGCCAACAGTTAAAATATTTGAATCATTGATAACCTGATTTAATCAGCAAATAATAATTGAATGCCTGAGTTGGGTTGCTCATACTAGGTCATGGATTTGCAGTGAGTCCCTATCGCTGTGGAGTCTTTGAGCCAGTGAGAAAGACAATAAACAACACAGTTGCAGGTTGCTGTGTTTTCAAATGAGAGTGACAATTAATGTTTGACACATAAAAACTTACTAAGTGTTAGCCACTGACATTTGCTTCCTTCAAGATTTAAAATTCTTTTGAGAAGACTGGAAAGTTGGTTTCCTCGTGACTCTTGCCTTTGTAGGCCTATTGTTTATCTTCTGTATCAATTGATGGTGTTAAAGATTGTCAGCATCCTCAGTGTTCAAACTATTGGATGAAGGAATTAAATGTGGTCCTTGGCCTATTGATATTTCAAGAGTTGTTGGATACCCAAGTAACTGCTTCTAACTTTTTATTTGGAATCAAGAAAGATACTATAAATGGTTGTAATTTTTTTAGATTGATAAATTTTTCCAATTTTTTTGTTGTTTCATTTAGTACTTCTGCGACATAATTTTAGGCCTTTATTTAACCACTGGGGGACTATTTAATATTAATCATTTTGATGTAGTCATGTGGTTGATCTGACTGGGACAAAAGAGAATGAAGAAATGACAGATGCAAGTAACATCCAGCTGGGATGGAATGGGCCATGAGCTCAGATAGAGAAACAGCAACCATGGTCTGGAAACTCAGCAGGAATAGGGGGTTTCTATAGGGGAGCAGTATGGGATTGTAGTCATCTGGGATGAGGAAGCTGTGGTCTGTACTTCCTGTGTGCACTGGTTTTAGCTAAAGGTCAGCTGTATCCATACTTGGACCAGAGGAAGACTGCCCATTCTCCAGAGCCTGACCTGGGGAAGGCCTTGTCATTCCGATGTATCTGAGACATTGGAATCTTTGACATGCCTGTCCTCATGTCTAAAGTACACAGTCACTCAGGATTTCATCTGCTCCCCACGCTTTGAGGGATGATTTAATATTAAGCATTTTAACATAGTTAAGGGGCTAATTTCAAACTAATTTTATAGAATTGGGTACTTAGCTTGATGGAGTAGCACCTTCCTAGCCTGGACAAGGTCCTGAGTTCAATCCCCAGAACCATAAAAAAATAAATCTTGTAGTAATAGTGTAGTAGTACTGCTATTGCTTCCAGTAATTATAACATGAAGTTCTAATTAAAATAAATTTAAAATTTATAATTAGTGTGACAGCCACTTAAGGTGAAAACATTTCCCCAATGGCAAATGTGAGGTATAGAAAAAAAGATGAACATTTAAAAACAATTAAGCCATAATTTTAGCAATGATTCCAGAAGTGGAACTTGATTTTTCTCCTGGTTTTCAGGATGTACTGTTTATTGATTTAATGACTCCTTACTTGTATTAGCATATACAATAATATTTAGAAGGAAACAAAACAGGAGTAACCCTGAACTTGAGTAGAGTCAAATATCAGTTACCACTTTCAGAGAGAATAATTCCCTTTCAAGTAAACTTTTGTTTCTGAATAGTCAAACTGTGGTGAATATGGCGTCATTTGTTATTTCAAGAGTGCTCAATATTTAAGAGTTGTGGTATAAAATGTCTTCCCTAGTTCATGCATACTGGAACACTAGTAAAGTAATGGTCTTTTATTCCTATTTATTCCTGAGACTTTAGAACAAGTGTACATTCACTAATTGGTAGTATCTCTTCATTCTTATGAAATAGTCATATGAACATTCAAGTTTCCAGCGTAGTCAAAGTGAGCATATCGTTGGTGTCCTGGAGCCACAGAGCTCAATCTAGGACTAGAAGGATTTTGAAGGCTTCTTGGTAGTGTGGTTAGGTGTCCATTTACTTTAGGTAGACATCAGTCAAAGTACACAGTGGCTGGGAGACTTATTTGTAACTAGGGCATCTGCTTCCTCTGTTATAGCTGCCACAAAATGATATGTTTGAACACTCGGTCTGGAGTTGGTGGCCCTGTTTTGGGAAGCTGCAGAATGTTTGGGAGAGTCCTAGCATCACTCTATTTTATCCAATAGATTATGTTCCCCAGTTATTCCTTACTTTGGGTTGCCTGTGCCCTCGGTGAGAAACTGGGGAGGATTCTGTGTGGCACACACCTGGAATCCTGTTACTTGAGAGGTTGAAGCAGGAGGCTGAGCTCTTTGCTTCTCACTTGGCTGCAGTGTGAGCAAGCTGAGAGTTCCTACCACCAGAAAGTGAGAGGCAACTCTGTGCCACACCGGCCAGGATACATAGGGACCTTTGCGAGTCAAAACTCCTTCTCAGGTTGCTTCCATGAGATGTTCAGTCCCAGTAACGAGAAAAGTAACCAATATATCCTTCATTTACGTTTTGTGCATTGCTTAGGGGTAGCCCTGCAGTAGAGCCTAGTGAGTCAAGGGTCAGTTTAACTCCCACCATTGAAATAAATGAGGAAACAATTTCAGTGCATAATGGAATGAGGACATGAGATGAAATCAAGTAGTTTATAGCCAAGAAAGTGGAAGGACTTCAGAATTACAGTCAACCCTGGATGTTTTTGGTGTTACACATTTGCACATGCTGTTCCAGTATTAGAGGACTGAGACTGCAAGGTAATGTGTCTGTCCCTACCAACAGAGCCATGCTGCATTCCCGGTACACAGTGGGGTGTGGATGCAGTTTAGTGGCGGCATCATTTTCACCTGAGCAGATGATTCCTAGCCACCCAAATTTGGCTGAGTGGGCATACTGTTCAAACAAGCTTGTCTTTGACAGGAACACATACTTTCTCTTTTATATACATTCTGTATGCAGTTCTCCCCTTTCCCTTCAGAACACTGGTATTTCAGCCTCCAGATGCACTCGGAGGAAGACTATGACAGAGGCAGGAGAGAATGTGTGACTAGGAGCCAGATCACTGAACTTCCTGTCACTTTGCTGATTAGCATTTGTGTGACCTTGGACAAGTTCATAAGTTGGATTTGGATTTCTGTTTCCTTGTCTGTAAGTTAGAAGCTTGAACTAGATGTGAGGACTGTTGCCTGTAGGAGCCAAGACGACAAAGGGTGTCGAGGACACATACTAGGGAAGGGTCGGCGTGTGGTCAGACTCTGTGCTTTGTGTTTTTCATTTTCTTCCTGGCTTCCTTCTCCCCCATGTCTCCCTTCTGCTCTTTCTCTAAGAAGGAAGCCGAGCATAAGCACGTCTAAGAGCCTAGTGTGCCCTCTGTCACCTGGAGTGCTGGTGACCTTTTCCCTGCTCTGAAGGATGAAGACTGTGCTCATGTCTTATGAAACTGGAAGGAAGGAGTTGAAGAAATGCATTGGAAGTGAGAGGGGCTATGGCAGGAACAGGAATCTTGAGGACGGTCCCTTTCTTCGTCTTTGATGTAGGTGGAGAAAACTGGAGAGGATGTTGATGGGGTGTTTTACTTGGATGTAGGGAAGAATTCACATCTGCAGGAGGGTTGTGTAACAGCACTGCTAATTGAGAGGTTTGCATGTGTGCCAGCTAGCAGTGATGTCATCAGGACCTTTGGCTCACTTAAGAACACATGTTTATCTGCAGGGAAAGTTTCTCTTTTTCTCAGATTTACTCATAAAACGTACATTTCTTCTTTTCTATTTCCATAAATATTTTCCTGATTTTTTTATTCTTTGCCATGTGTTATTTGTATTTATATGTCTGTAGGTACACACATACACCACACGTACTCATACACCTTGGGGGGATGTAAAAATAATTATGAGTGTTTTTGTTTATATACTCACTTTGTTTTTAGTGGCTCCTTTGTTTTTCGTTTGTTTGTCTGTTTTGTTTTTTTACTAGAACAAAAATCAGTAAGCAAGGCATGGTGAAATACACCTGTCATTCCAGTGCTGAG